ATAACTTAATAATAATAAAAGCTAAATTAATAAGTCTTTATAATATTATGCTTAAATTAATTAATAAATTTAATAAAAATTAATCGCTATCTTTCCTTAATTAATTAATATTATTTAAGAAAATAGCTTTATAAATATATTAAGTTAAAGCTTATAATTATAAAGCATGGCATTAAATTAATATTAGCTAAGCTAAAGTTTAAGTTTTTATGCTAGCTCTTTAAATTAATTATATTTCTTAAGCAAATATTATTACTAAGCACTTAAGTAATATAACTATTAAAAAGGAATAGGCTTTTACTTATAAGGATTATATAAGGGAGCGGAATTAAAAAAAGCAATATTAATTAAGAAAGATAAATAATAGTTTTTAATATTTAGCTTTTTACTTTTAATAAAGAGAAAAAAGATTAAAAAAGGATATATTATTAGGTATAAGGAATGCATTGCCAGTATTTTAGCTATTTTTTTTTATAAAAGTTATTATAATAGCTTTAGCTTCCTTTTATTACTTTAAATATATTTTAATTAAAATAATTAACTCCCTTTTATTATTTTTAAAGCTATAATTTATAAATTTTATAATTATTTACTTTATCCTTAAGCATTATAGCCCTTTTTAATTTTTCTTTATATTAAAGTACCTTTAAGCATATTATTAAGGCTTTTAGCAAAACTTTGCTTTATTATATTTATAATGCTTATTTTTAATATCTTTAGCTTTATTAAATATAATATTATAATTAATAACTTTTTATATTTATTACTTAAAGTTATTAAAAGGGTTTTAATAAAAAATATTTTTAATTACTTTATTGAAATTAATATATATAGCTAAATTACTTAATTTATAATAAGTTAAGAATTCTTCTTTTTATTTTATTTATTTCCTTTTCTTAATTATAACTTTATTAATAATTTTAATTAGCTTAAATATTATAAAATATTATATTAATAAAAATAAAACTTAATTAATTAAATATAAAAATTATTAAATAATATTCTTAAAATTAAATAAAGATTTATTAATATTAATATTATTAAACTTAAAAATATTTAAAATATAAAGTATACTTAAAGCTATTTAATAAATTATTATAATATTAATAAAAATATATACTTAAAAATAAAGTTAAGTATTTTTTAATATAAAAATAAAAAATATTATATAATTTTAATTAATTAATATTAATAATAATAAAAAAGGTAAATAAACTTTATAAAACTTTTTTATCTTTAAATTTAAAATAATATAAAAATTATCCTTATTTATAACTATAATTAAATAATTAAAGATTTAAAGGTAAATTAATTTTAATTTTTAAATTTTATTAAAATAAAATTAAAAGTTAATTAAAAGAAGTAATAAAGGTTAAATTATTAATAATAAATATTAAAAAAGTAAAGATTTTTATTAAATTAAAGTTTTTATTAAAATAAATAATTAAAGGATTAATTAAATTAAATATTATTAAAGATACTTTTAATTAAAAATATTATAATAATAAAAAAGTTATTATAATATAAATAATTAATAAATAATAATAATAATATATATATATATATTAATAAAATAATATTTAAGGTAATTATTTATTAAAATTTTATATTTTAAAATATCTTTATTAATATTATTATAACAGCTTTATTTTAATTTTAAACCTTTTTATATTCCTTTTAATTAAAGTTATTAAAATTTTATCTTAAATTCTTAAATTTTAATAAAGCAATATACTTAAATATTTAATTAAATATTTAAAACTTTTTATATAATGCTAAGCAATATTTATAAGATATTATAAGCTAGCTTAAAGTTATTTATTAAAAAAATGCTTAAATAAAGTTTATATTTAAAATATAAAGAAAGAAGTTTACTCTTTATTTATACTTATATTAAAGCTTATTTTTATAAGGCTAAAGCTTATTAATTAATTATAATAAGCAAAGCTTAAATTATAATATATCCTTTTTTTAAGTCCTTATAATAAGCTTTAAAAAATAATTATATAATAAAAAATAAAGGATATTATAATTTAATTATAAATTAAATATTATTCTTTATTTAATTAATTAATTATATTTTAATGCTTTTTAAATATATTAAAAACCTAACTTATTCATTATAATTAATATACTTTTAATCCTTATAATTTAATATATTAATTAAAGCAAGTTAATAAAAAATACTTATTTAAGTATAAGTTAATAATTAAATTAATAATATTCTTATAATTCTTTAATTTAAACCTTTTATATAAGCTTTTTTACTTAAAATCTTAAAATTATAAATTTATTATATAATTTATAATTAATTAATATTTAATTATAAATAATTTACTTTATTAATAAGAAATTTTTAAATTTTAAGTATTTTATAATATTAAATTAATTAATATATAATTAGCTTATTTTAAACTTAAATTAATATTAAATTAATAATACTTTAAATTTTATCTTATAAAAAAAATTTATACCCTTTTAAATAAACTTTTCTTTTTTATTAACTTTAATTAATAAAAATTATATCTTTATTTTTTATAATAATTAAAATAATTATACTTATAATAATTAAGTTAATTATATATAAAATACTTAACTTTACTTATTAAAATTATTATAATATTAATATTTATTATTTTATTATTTTAAGGTTAAATATTATTCTTTTTTAATATAATATTAAATATACTTTTATATTATTATAAAGTAAAATAAAAAGCTTTAAATATATTTAACTACTTTTTATAATTAAGCTAAGCTTTTATTATAAAGGTTAAGCTATTAATTATTAATAATATTTTATTTTTAATTAATTAACTTTAAATCTTTATTATATAAGTTAATTAATTAAATTAAGTAAGAAATTTTATTATTTCTTTTTATAATATTATTATAATATAATTAAGTTAAGCTTAATATATTTTTACTTAAAGGAATTTTTAAATATAAGGTAAATCTTTTTTAAAAAGCTTTTTAATTATCTTATAAATATTTTCTTAAAATTAATATAAAATAAAAATTAATTATAAAAAATTCTTAATTAATTAAATATATAAAAAAATTAAGCTTCTTTAATATTAATTATTTCCCTATTTATTATAAACTTAATCATTATTTTTATTAATTAAGTTGCTAAGTATTTTTAAGATAAGAATTTTTTAAGATAAGAAAAAGCTTAATAAGCTATTATTATTCTTTTTAAGTTTTATTATATTAAAGTTTATATAATTATATTATAAATTTATAATATAAAAAGACTTTAAATATATATTATAAGTTAAATTAAGGTTATTTATTAAAAAGTGCTTAAATAAGGTTTATATTTAAAGTATAAAGAAAAAAGTTTGCTTTTTATTTATATTTATATTAAAGCTTATTCTTATAAAGCTAAAGCTTATTAATTAATTATAATAAATAAAACTTAAATTATAATATAAGATAATCTTTATTATAATTATAAACCTTTTTTATTAAGCCTTTTATTATTATAAGTAATATTAAATTAAAATTAATAATTAAAAAATATTATAATTAAAATTATTAAGTTATTTAATAAGGCTTAACTTTTTATTTTAAGTAATCTTTTAAATAAATAAGCTTTTATTAATTTTATTTTAATTTAATAAATAATCTTTAAACAAATATAATGCTTAACTTTTACTTTAAAGTTTTATAATCTTTAAATCTTTCATTATTTAATTATTATCTTTTTTTATTTAATAACACCTTTTAACAAAACTAGCTTTTTATTATAATTTTCATTATAAACTTAATAATATTAACATTAATTTATAATAATTTTAAAAAAAATAAGAAGTATAATAACTTTATCCTTAAAAAAAATTTAAAATAAAATTTATTTTCTTAAAGATAATTATAAATACTTTATATTTCTTAAAAGAAATATTAAATATTCTTATTATAAAAAATCGTAAGTTAAATTATTAATAAAAATAAGTAATATTAATATAATATTGCTTAATTTTATAAAAAACTTAAAGATTATATTAAAAGGCATTTTAATATAAGAAAGGATATTAAAAAATATAAAGATTAAGGTTAAGAAATAATTATTATAATTTAATTTTAATTTTAAGGTAATTAAAAAAAGTTAATTATTTTAATTAAAAAGAATTTAAAGAAATAAAAGGAAATTAAAGCTTTTATAATAGTTATTAAAGAAAAATAATGCCTGAAATGCTTATTATATATTTCTTATACTTAATAATAATATTAAAAATTAAATATAGCTTAATATTAAGATTTTTAATATAAATTAACGGCTTTTAATATAATATTAATTTTAAAAAAATTAAATAGCATTATAATGCAGCTAGAAAAGCATTAAGTTAGCTTTTATATAATAATAAGCATAAAGGCCATGGGTTTAAATTTTGCTAATACCTTAATTATTTTAAAACCCTTTTTGCTTATAAAAAGGAAGTTGCAGCCTTTTTAAAGCTTATATAAGCTTAATTAGCAATAACTAAATTAATAAATATAATTATTGCTAATTAAGCTTATATAAGCTTTAAATAATTAATTTTTAAGTTTTCTTTTAAGTTTTTCTTAATATATTATTAAAGTTAATTTTTCCTTAATAAGTAAATAAATATAAATATTATTAATTATATAAAATTATAAGATAACTTAAGATATTAATGCTTAACTTTTTATATAAAAAAAATAATATTTAATATTTTAAAATATATTTTAAAAATTTAAACTTTAAGGCATTAATTATATAAATATTAAAACTTGATAAACCTTTTAATAAAGATATAATAATTTATAAAATATTAATTAATTATTATTTAAAGCTTTATATAATAAATTTAATTATAATTATTTATAACTTATATTATTTTTTATTTTATTAAGATAATTAATAATATTTTAACTTTATAAAAAAAACTTAAAGAACTTAAATGATTTATAAGCATTTATTCTTTAAATAAATGTTTTAATGCTCTTAAAATAAACTCGATTAACTATGATCCTTACATTATTGAACCACCGCTTCTATTTCCTCCAACTAAGCCTGCCATTTCGAGCAGGGCTCTGTCTGCTTCAATGTCTCCTGTCCCAAGATTGATGCGCCTCCTGGCCTCCGCCTCTCGGGCTTTAAATGCCCATCGCTCAGCCTGGACTTTGGCCTCCTCATCACCTCCGCAGCCCCAGACCTCGAGACTTTCAATCTCAAATCGATCCTGGAAGTCGAACTGGCGAGAAACACTGCCCTGAAAGGCACCACCCTTCGAGGAATTGTCATGTGTGAACAGGCCAAACTCAAAGCTCGAATCAAGAAGGAGGGCGACCGAGCCGAGATGGGTAACGCTCTGTCTCCGATATGAGGACGAGGATGCGGGCAGTGGATTCCCGACCGCAATGCCTGTGTTAGTCGAACCAATGCCCGGCTTTGTGAACGAGACATAGTCCCTGTTCAGAGCGCTGGCAGGGAACACATCGTGGATGGGCTCGAGCTGGAACAAGATGGTGTCCGAGTCGCCAAAGCATTCCTTGTGTGAGTGACGCCACGGCTGAGACACGTACAGGCCGTAGGTGAGCCTACTTGACTGGGAGCCGTCCGGGAAACGCTTTGGCGGAAGCGAGGCTGCAAACCGCTCTTCGCTGCCACCAGAGCAGTCTGCAATCCTGCTGCCTCGCACGAGCAAAATCGTGGGCGCGCGCCAATTGAACACCTTGGTTTCAAAGGAGCCCATAGAGAAACCATCATGTTCGCCCGAGTACAACATCCGCAGCCGACGAAACAGAGAAGAGCCTGGGATGAAGAAGGAGAGCTGGGAAAGGACGGTCGAGTTCATGATGGATGCTTTCTCCTGAAGCAGCGGGGCAGCGACAGGTGGGGAGGGCCCGTCTTCGTGGGCGCCAGGCCCTCTCTGCTTGTCGAACTCGAGGTTCTTGGAGAAGAGCAAGCGCCCAAAGAGGGCGTTGAAGCCTTGGAACAAGAACGGAAGCGCAACCGGCAGCACGATATCAAATGCCCTGGACCTGATGCCCGGGGACTTCTCGACGTTTAGGAATGCCGCAAGGATGCTTTCAGCTGCAGACCGCAGGCTTTCGAGCTCAGCTCCCGTGGTACGTTCTGCGTACTGGGAGAGTTTCTCTTGAGGATCCATGGGTGCCACGAGCAAAAGCAGCATGATTAGCTTTCTGAAGTTATCGGCCGGGATTATGGCTTCGTGAGTCGTTGGCGGGCCCGCGTCCTCGTATGCCTCGACGCAGTCCAGTAGTTCGAGTGTGGATATCACCAGTCCGTCATCGTCGTCCGGCTCGTCCTCGTTGGCCGCACCTGGCGCGGGAGTATTGTCGTGGGCGCCGTCCTGGCCGTCATGCGGCTGCAACAGCTTCCGATCGTACACAGCCAAGCTCTTGAAAAGCAGCTTCCTCCTGTCGGTGGAACCCTTTGATAGGAGCCGCTGGTATCGCTCGGTGAGAATAATGACGGTGTTCACAAGGGCGTCAAGCCCCATGATTGCGGGTGCGTCCTGAAGAAAGGGAAAGGCGCCGATAAAGGACACCATTTTCCCGATCACGGGTGACACATCAAGGACATCGGGAATTTCCAGGAACCTCACAATAGTTGTCTCTGAGACGTAGAGGTGCGGTGTGCCCCCAGGCTCCCGCTGGACGTCGGCAAGGCTCTTGAAGTTGTCCTTGAGCGAGTACAGCTCAATGGACGTGAAGCACTTGGTGGCAAACTTGCTGGCCTGTTTGCGTGGGATGGTGGTGGGTTAGTTAGCTGGCCAGCTTTGCAGTGAGGCCCCCCCCCTTGGGGGATGGGGGAGAGGGGAGGGGGGTTCAATATGCGGGAGTGCATGACCGTACCAGCTCCCTCCTCAGCTCCTCGCGTGTCCTGGTCCCCGGACCGTTGTTGTGGCCGGACAGGGCCTGTCCCATCTTGAAGTGTCAGGGACCAAGGGGTTCCGTTCCGGAGTTTGTGTGAGGGCAGTAGACTGTGATTAGTAGGTGCAAGGCCGACAGCCTGCGTGAATCCACACTTGGGTACACACAGAAATTGTGATCATGTACGGCATGAGTGTGAACAGCCCCTGGGTATGCAGAAGGAGGTAGGGGCCCGGCTGACCAACACGTAGGCCTACATTGTGCCTGGGGACGCCAGCCTACGTAATAGCTGATCATTGGTATCTGCGTGTTCCAGCATCCCTAACCCTTGACGACTGTGTGTAGCAAACAAGCTATTTTACCCCCCCCCCCCTGTTGGTTAAGTTAGCTCTCCCTTTCCACATTAAAATTTAGCTAATAATGCAAACCACGCACTTTAATTCTTAAAAACCTTATTATTAATATTATTTATATATTTAATTAAATAAAAAAAGGTAATTATAATAATTAATTCTTATTTAATAAATATTAAATTATAAATATTAATATTTTATTTATATTTAAAAATTTTATTATTTAATAAATAATTATAAGTTAAAATTTAATATAATAAAATAATAACTTAATAATATTAAAAAGAAATTATAATTATAAATATTATAACTTTAATTATATTTTTATTATTATTATTAAATATTTTTAAATTAAAATAATAAGCTTTAAAAATATATAATATTTTTTTAATATAATAAATTCTTTAAATATAATAACTTTTTAAATATTATTAATGCTTTATTATTATTATAAAAATATATAAAGTTTTTTTTAATAAGTTAAATATATATTTTAATAAAAAAAATAAAAAGTTTTTTTATAAAATATATATATATTAATATTAATATATTAATTATTATAATATTTTTAAAATTTATTATTAAATATAATTAAATATATATATTTATTTAATAATATAATAAAGTTTTTTAAAATTATTATTATTTTAAAATCTTTAAATTATAATATATTATTAAAATATTTATATTTCATAATAAATTAAGATTTAATAAATATAATAATATTAAAAAAAAGTTAAATATTATTTAAATAAATATTTTAAATAAAAAGTTTATTTAAAATGAAATATTATTTTTATTTTATTTTTAATAATTATAAATAATATTTTTCTTAATATTATAATATATAAAAAAATATATAATAAAGAAAGTTTTTAATATAATTTTAAAAAACGTTTTATGTTAAATAAATATATATTTAAGCTTTTAATTAATTTTTATAATAAATAATGCTTTATAATATTATAATAATATTATTTATAAAATTATTAAAATAAAAAAATTAAATTAATATATTTATTATTATAAAACTTTTATATTAATTTAATTAAAATATATTTTAAAGATTTTAAAAATATATATTTATTATTAATATTAATATAAATATAATAATAATAATAATAATAATAATAATAAAAATTAATTAATATATAAAGATAATTAAAAAGTATTTTTATTATATATATATATATTAAAAAGAAATTTAAAGTTAAATATTATAATAAAAAATAAAAAAAGTATTACATAATTTTAAAAAAAATATTAATAAAAAGAAAAAAGCTTTATAAAAAAATTATTAAAGTTAAATTATATAAAAATAAATAAATTAATAAAAAAATATTATTTATTAATTTAACTTTTATATAATTAATTTAATTATAATAATTAAATATAAGTTATAATAAAGTTATAATTTATATATTATTATTTTTAATAAAATTAATTTAAATTTTATATTTTTAAATTTATATATTATATATTTATAATTATTAAATAAATATATTATATTTAAATATATTATTTTTTATATTAATAAATTTATATATATATATATATATTAAAATTAAATTTATTTTTAAATTATTCTTTAATTAATTATATAATTTAATTAATATAAATTTTTAAATTTTTAAAATATTTTAATTATTTAATTTATATATTTATAAATTATATAATTATTAATACTTTAAAGCTTTAAAATATTTAAATATTATATTTTAATTAATTAAAAATTTAAATTATAATTATTAATTTAATTATTATTATTATTAAAGTATTTATTAAAGTAATTATTATAAATATTAATAAAGTTATTATTTAATTTTAAGTAATTTTATTTAATTATTATTTTATTTTTTTAATAATTTTTAATTTTTAATTATTAAGGCTTATAATAATATTAGTTTTATATTTAATTTTACTTAAAATTATAATAATAATTATTAATATTATTATAACTTTAATAATAATAATATTAAATATTATAATTATTATTACTTAATTATATAAAGTTATTTAAATTTATTAAAATATTTTTTTTAATATTTTTAATAGTTTTAAGGAAGTGCTTATTAAAGAGTAATTTATTAAAAAAGTATTTATTAAGAAAGCTATTTAAAAAAGCCTTTTAATAATAAATTAATTATAAAGAAATTAATTAAAAAGAAGAAAATTAAGGAGAAATATTATTAATATTATTAATAATAATTATTAACTTATTATAATAAATATTAAAAATATATATTTTTAATTTATATTTTAAATTAAATATTAAATTATATTATTAATAAATAATATTTTTACATTATATATTTATAACTTTTATAAATAAATTTATTATTAAAATTTAAAAATTTATTAATATTTATAAATAATACTTAAAGTTAATTATTTTTAAAAAGTTTTTAAGAAAAAATTAAATAATTAAAAAATAAAATTTTTTTTATAATTAATAATAAATATATTATTATTATTAAAGTTATTATTATTATTATTAAAGAAAAAGGAAAAAGTATTAAGAAAAAGAAAGGTTATATTTATTAATTAAATAAGTTAACTTTTATTAAAAAATAAATATTTTTAAAGTTTAATTAAGTTATTTATATAATTAAATTAATAATAAATGTTAATTAATTTTCTTAATAATTTTAAATTAATTAAAAAAATAAGAAAGTTATATTAATTATTTATTTATTAATATTTTAAAATATTAAATTAAATATATTAATTAAATATATAAATTATTTAAAAAAAACATTATAAATAACATTAAATATTACTTATTAATCTTTTATTTTATTAAGTTTTTAAAGGATTTTTAAAGAGTTTAAGCCTTAAAAATATTATATAAATATTTTAAAAGGTTTTACATAATATTAATTATAAATAAAAGCTTTTAAAAGCTTAAAAGTATTATAAAATAAGCTTTTAAAAGTTTTTTATAATTATATAAAAGTTTTATATAATTATATTTATTTAAAAAAGTTATATTTTATTAAAAAGTTATAAGAAAAGCTTTTAATATATTATTTTTAAATATATTTATTAAAAGAATTAATATTATAATTTAAGGTTTATTTATTATAATTAATTAATAAGCTTTAACTTTATAAAAATAAGCTTTAATTGTAGGAATAGTACGTATGGGCATTACGTGCAGCGTGCCTATGTAGTGAGTGCGCTATAGGTAATGCATAGATTTAGAGGTGCAAGGTTTAGATTAGTTTTATTGATAGCAGCTACCAATCGGTACTAGCTAGCTGCTAGCTAGCGATTACGTGCCCTATGCACAGACTACTATAGCTAGCCTATAGCCAGACGGAGGAAGGCTGCAGCTTTGCTATACCCTACCCTCCATACCATAGCTAAATTAATTACATACTTTATTTATTTATTACTAATTATATGGAAGCTAAATTAATATTAATTAATACTTGCTTAGCAAGCATAAATAGTTAAGTATTAAAGAAATAAATCTTATTTCTTAAAAGCTTGTTTGCTTATAATAATTCTATTAAGGAACTTTATGCTAATAATAATGCTATAAGCCGCTAAAAAGCTTAATTAAGCATTAAAAATCAATTTATAGCAATAATATTTAATCTTTAATTGCATTTATTAATATAAATTATTAACGGCAATAATAATAATTATAAAAAGCCTTAATTAAAAAGCCTTCCTTAATATACCCTTAAGTAATTATAACTTTCCTTAATTATTAAAAGCCTTTTTATAATACCCTTAATTATTAAATAAATTAATAATAAGCTTTACTTAATTTTATTTAGTTTATAGTAAACGCTTAACTTTTAAGTAAGATTAATTAATTTATAATAAATACTTAACTTTTAGTTATATTGCCATTATACCCTTAGCTCTTCTTGCAATACCCTTAAGAAGCCCTTGCTTAATACCCTTAAGAAGCCCTTGCTTAGCACCCTTAAGAAGCCCTTATTTAGCACCTTTAAAGAAAGCCCTTATTTATAATTAATGCCCTTAAAGCATTAATATAATACCCTTAAGGCTTATAACCCTTTAAAAACCCCTTAAGCACTTAATGAAATTAAAACTTTAAAGTATTAATAAATAATGTTTCTTTTAAGTAATTTATATACTTAATTAATATGCTTAATTAAATACTTTAAAGTATTAATTAGCAAAAATAAGCAATTAATGCAATTATCTTATTTACTTAATTAGCTTAAAACTATTAAAGGGATTAATTAAGATTTACTGCTAGTTTAGCTATATAAATAACTTAATTAAACCTTTAAAATATTTACTTTTTAATAATAATTAATATTTAATTAATAAGCATAACCTTCCCTTTTTTTAATGCTTTCCTTATTAACGCCCTTTAATAAGATCTTAAGTATAAATTGCCTTAAAGCTAATAAAGGTTAGTTTGCTAGGTAGTAATATTATTTAGGCGCCATTACTTATAAGTAAATAGTTTAAGAGCTAATTATTAATTTATAAGCGCAATATAAAAACGTTCTTCCCCTTCCTTTTACCTTATAATTAATTATTATAAGATTTACTTAATAATAATAACCTTTGCATTAATAATAACCCCTTTTTTTAATAAAGAAGAGGTTATTAATATAATTAAAAGCCTTAAGGGTTATTTAGGTTATAATAAAGATCTTTTTAATAAATTTTAATATAAGTTTTATGGATAAATAAAAGAATGCTTTTAAA